GGGGAGGGGAGGGGGTTGGAACTTTAAGAAACACAATCTCAATGGCAAATGACAACTTGATACATTTGCCATTTTCAGCTTAATCAGGACAGAATAACATGATGCTTCACAGGGGGGGAAAATAAAATAAAAATTAAGGAACCAAGTAAAGGCATTAAGTTTTCAGGAAGTATGATCTAATTATTAATCTGATGGATGAAAATGTGAATATGCTAAAAAAAACCAAAGGACATCATGCATATGTTACAACTTGAGATTCCTCCTTTTTTTTTTTTTTTTCTATTTATTTATTTATATTTGGAAAGAAAAATTTTCATTGGCAATACAAAATTACGAGGAGAAAAAAAAATGCCAGTCCAAGGAGATTATAGAAGGGATGATCAACTAGCACAAAGCATATTGAACTAATAAACTCATATTACAAATAGAAGGCTAAGCAAATCTTTCAATTCAACAAAGGTGTTATATGGGAATCAGCCAAGTGAAGTTTTGGACCTATTATTACAAATACAAGGCTAAGCACTCGAACTTTCAGTTCAAAGGAGTTGAATTATTTACTTCTCCAGAAAATGTAGCTAAAGATATATAAAGGAGTTTCAGAGGGCAATCGGCTCAGTGAAGTTTTGGATCAAACTCGAGTATCCAAAGTAACGAGTTTGTTTAACTTAAATAATTCTAGTTAACCTCCAGACTTATTCCAACTTCCCCTTGTAATCATTGGACCAATTTGTTCAAGTTGTTTGAGTTGTTTATTTTAGAAAAATGTAGAATAATAAATAAAAGATAAATACTTTCGGAAACCTATTTGTCCTATTTTAAATGTAAAAGTAGAAATATCATTTCAGAAATTTATGCTATTTGCAAAGTTCCAGTTCAAATTTTTAATTCAATTGTTTTGAAATTTAGCAAAGAGAAAAAGGTCCAAAGAATGCCCCAAGTGAAATGAAATATAGACACACAGACTTTACCCTTTAATAAGATGTATCTTTTTATTTATGAATCCATATTGATCCAATTTTACACCAACTGATTTGAAAGAACCATAATTCAACCCCGATAAAACAAGTTCAGTTTAAGGTTGGGTTCCCGATAAAACAAGTTCAGTTTAAGGTTGGGTTGGGCCGTTTGGCTTTTTAAGTGGTCAAGGTTTCTAAACAGTTCTAGAATTCAAATGTTCAGTGTAGGATCCACTGTGTAACTTCTTTATGACCCTCAATGAGAAAACATTTCTGTAACTCTATTATTCGTAACCCAAGAAAAAGTTTCAGAGCTTTTCATATTGTCCAACATCCTTTCGAAGAAAAGTAGACCATTTAGGTCCTTGACAATGGCGTTGGCTACACTAACAAAAAAAAAAAATCACCCAAGAATACCATGCATATGTAAGTGCTCATGTTATCACAAATGACTTATTAAAATATCAAGAAAAGGCGTAGAAAGACCTGAAAGCATATGAAACAACCAGTTTCTGCATTTCAGGTTGTCATTGTTTCTTGTATATCTTAAGAAACAAGAGCTTACAAAAAAAAAAAAAAAAAAAAAAAAAAAAAGATATTGAAATCAGTGGCATCTAACACTATTGCAATGAGCTTGAGATTTAGCAAAATTTTGTGCCTCAATATGGGTCATATTAAAATCACAACAAAATCTTGCCGAATCAAGTAATAACCTCATCTAAAATAATAACAAGGTGGGGTGAAACATGTCTGATGACGACATATTACCACTAATCCTGTTTCTCACATTTCAAAAGCAGTACTGATAATCAGGTAAAGATCTTGATTAAATTTTTTTTTAAAATAACATAAGAATAAGAGGCCTCTTGCTTGAAAAAAGGAAAATAAAATAGTTTTATATATGAAGAATTCAACAGTTATTAGACTTACCTGAACTTTTTCCGGAAGAAAACGGTCTCCAAAAGAACAGTACAGGGGATGATTGCCAGTTTCGTCATCTGGAATAGCAATCAATATACTCCTTATTCAAAGAGCCGGGAGATAAAAATAAATCAAAACTTGGTTTCATAATTAAAAATAATTCTTGAGAAAATACAATCACTAATGTAATATAAGTAGGAACATGCTCAAAGACATTTATGCACGAACATTTTTGAATTCATACTTGACATTGCATCTTAGAAAAAGAGGAGACCTTATAAAACCATATGAAGGATAACACGTTCTGTCCACAGATGTGATTTTACCTGATAGAAGCCAACAGAGTTGAAACCCAAGCTAAGATTTAGAAGCCCAATTGAGATTCCATTTAGTATTCCAAATCCCATAACAGCTCTTGCATCAAAAGGCTTATGTTCAAACAGTTTCATCAATAGTGCCACATGAAGAGAACAAAATGTAACAAGCAGATGCCAGCTTGTCAATGTAGTGGCTGCGCATCAACCAAGTTCCGTTAATGTATCAGTTCACCAAAAAAAAAAAAAAAAAAAAAGAAAAGAAAAGACAGATCCAAGTGACAACAGGTAGCTTCTGCTCATAGTTTAGCACAAATAGATAGACAAAAAGGGAGGGTCACTCTTCTCGTGATAAAATTAACAGAACTATATATTGATCTAGTTTCAGAAGGTCACTATTTTTCTGTAGGCATGTGATAAGTTGATAATGTGAGTGCTAAATCATTTTGTACTGAAATTAAATAATGTTATGATCAGACAAAATACAAAAGAGAGTAGTACATTTTTTTATTAAGATAAGAATATGGATAAATTTAGTCTTCTCAACTCGTTCTTTAACATCCCTCCCTCACATGTAGTTTCTTATATTAATCTTAATTCATGAGATCTTACAAATCAATTATTAATATGAAATGGAGAGAAAATGATATTATAGGAATTTAAAACAAGACCTCCTAACATCATATCACGTTAAATTATTAATAGAGCTAGAAGCTTGGGTCAGATAAGGATATTGACCTTTTCAAATGATCTTTTAACACAAGATGAAGTAATGCATAAATTTACATAGAATGAAAGTTCGTTAAAGAGTAGCAATGCATTTCTGTGACAGGAAAATTGAAAGCACAAATAACATTTCTCTGCTCGGCTTGAAGTGTTCAATCAAGAATACATCTAAGTCCACCAAATCCAAGCTCTGGTGGAAAATCTTGCGCTCAATTAAAATTTAATGCAAGATATCGGAGCCTATAATCCATATAGATCTCCAATTCTTAGAAAAGTAAATGATCGTGCCTCAGTTGGGAGGAGACTAAACTACGTCAATATCGCACATGGAATCTATTCAAAATAACGCAATTGAAAGACGTGAAATCAAGGTCTTGGATATTTAGCAACTCACCGAACGTGAAACCGAGTGTGCTAATAAGTGCCTTGTTGCATATGACAATCGAGACAGAAGAAACCACCGACAAACTTAATGCGCCGATAGTCCCGAGCTGGAACTTCTGGCCGTCACTCATTTTCAGGCTCCTCGATGTCTCGTCCTACCTCGATCTAGATTCTGCAATTCCACTCACCACCGTCAAAAAAAAAAAAAAAAAAAAAAAAAAAAAAAACAGCGCACATAAACTACGAACANACGAAGAAATATGGCGGTGCTAGCTGAACAAATAGAAATTCATCAAGAATAACCAAATTCAAGCATAATCGATTCATAAACACGAAAGCATGGAGCATCAGAATTGGAAAATAAACAGAAAGAAACACACATACAAAAATATAAGAAAACGTAATTAAACAATACAGTGAATAAGATCTACAGAAAAATTGGCGGGGAAAAGCACAGATCTACTAGGCGGACAGAAAAGTGAGGAAAAGGAAACAGACATACCGCGGACCGACAGATGGAAGGATTGAGAAGCGTAGGGCGTAGACGTATGCGGTGCGGTAGGAGAAGAATCTCTGTAAATAGAAAATGCAGAGAAGATTGATTGGAGCAGTGTGCGTGAGCTTTAATGGCGAAGGAAGAAAGCTTTAACAGTTATGACAATGGAGAAGAAATAGAACGAAGAAGAGACGAAAAAACGTATGAGAATCATAATAACAAAACCATAGAATTTAATTAATTATTAATTCTTTTTTTTAGTTTTTAATTAGTCGCTATTCTGATCGTATTGTACAACGGAGACGGAGAGGCTGTCCACCAAATGAAAATTGGAATAATATATTATTTTTATTTTTTAATAATTAAAATAAATAAATAAATATTTAAAAATTAAAATGTAATAATAAGACAGTCGAGGTAACATAGAGGCGTTTCCCACGACTATATCATATTAATGTCATCATCCGAGTAGTCTTTTTTTTTTTCTAATTATTTTAATAATTCCATTTTCTTCTCTGGCACTCAGTTTCTTTCTCGGTTCTTTCTCGTTTCTTTCTCTAATTGATGTGCGATCGCCATCAAATTCACTCCTTCGAGGTCCAGCGTTCTTATTTCGGATAACAGCGAGAAGACTGGCACATCGTTCGGTGTCTAGTTTTGGTACCATTTTTAACGTCCCAGATCCACCGCTAGCAGATATTGTTCTCTTTGGGCTTTCCTTTCGCCACCAAATTCACCCCTTCGAGGTCTAGCGTCCTTATTTCGGAGAACAGCAAGAAGGCTGGCACATCGTCCGGTGTCTAGCTCTAATACCTCACCCCCTTCGAGGTCCAGCGTCTTTACTGGCACACCGCCTCGTGTCTACCCCCCTTCGGAGAACAGCGAAAAGGCTGACACATTGTCCTTTAATATCGTAGATCCACCGCTAACAGATATTGTCTTCTTTGGGCTTTTCCTTCGCCACCAAATTCACCCCTTCGAGGTCTAGCATCCTTATTTCGGAGAACAGCGAGAAGACTGGCACATCGTCTGTTGTCTAGCTCTGATAACATTTTTAACGCCCTAGATCCACCTCGTGTCTACCCCCCTTCCTTATTTCGGAGAACAGCGAGAAGGCTAGCACATCGTCCGGTGTCTAGCTTTGATACCTCACCCCCTTCGAGGTCCAGCGTCTTTACTGGCACACCGCCTCATGTCTACCCCCCTTCGGAGAACAGCGAAAAGGCTGCGTCTTTACTGGCACACCGCCTCGTGTCTACCCCCCTTCGGAGAACAGCGAAAAGGCTGACACATTGTCCTTTAATATCCTAGATCCACCGCTAACAGATATTGTCCTCTTTGGGCTTTTCCTTCGCCACCAAATTCACCCCTTCGAGGTCTAGCATCCTTATTTGGGAGAACAGCGAGAAGACTGACGCATCGTCGTTGTCTAGCTCTGANCTAGATCCACCTCGTGTCTACCCCCCTTCCTTATTTCGGAGAACAGCGAGAAGGCTAGCACATCGTCCGGTGTCTAGCTTTGATACCTCACCCCCTTCGAGGTCCAGCGTCTTTACTGGCACACCGCCTCATGTCTACCCCCCTTCGGAGAACAGCGAAAAGGCTGCGTCTTTACTGGCACACCGCCTCGTGTCTACCCCCCTTCGGAGAACAGCGAAAAGGCTGACACATTGTCCTTTAATATCCTAGATCCACCGCTAACAGATATTGTCCTCTTTGGGCTTTTCCTTCGCCACCAAATTCACCCCTTCGAGGTCTAGCATCCTTATTTCGGAGAACAGCGAGAAGACTGGCACATCGTCTGTTGTCTAGCTCTGATAACATTTTTAACGCCCTAGATCCACCTCGTGTCTACCCCCCTTCCTTATTTCGGAGAACAGCGAGAAGGCTAGCACATCGTCTGGTGTCTAGCTCTGATACCTCACCCCCTTCGAGGTCCAACGTCTTTACTGGCACACCGCCTCGTGTCTACCCCCCTTCGGAGAACAGCGAAAAGGCTGCGTCTTTACTGGCACACCGCATCGTGTCTACCCCCCTTCGGAGAACAGCGAAAAGGCTGACACATTGTCCTTTAATATCCTAGATCCACCGCGAACAGATATTGTCCTCTTTGGGCATTTCCTTCGCCACCAAATTCACCCCTTCGAGGTCTAGCATCCTTATTTGGGAGAACAGCGAGAAGACTGACGCATCGTCGTTGTCTAGCTCTGATAACATTTTTAACGCCCCAGATCCACCTCCTGTCTACCCCCCTTCCTTATTTCGAAGAACAGCGAGAAGGCTGACACATCATCCGGTGTCTAGCTCTGATAACATTTTTAACGCCCCAGATCCACCGCTAGCAGATATTGTCCTCTTTGGGCTTTCCCTTTGATGTTTCCCTCAAGACCAGACATGTGTAACGCAGGTATTCTCTAGAGTCCGCTGGGGAAGGTTTCTCCACACCCTTATTTTTGTTCTCCTACCCATCGGGACATCACAATCCACCCTTCTTGAGGCCATCATCCTTACTGGCACACCGCCTCATGTCTACCCCCTGTAGGAAACAGCGAGAAGGTTGGCACATTGTTCGGTGTCCTCCCTAACCATTAGAGACTAAACCTAAAGTCTTATGTAAATTCGCTAGCGAGGAAGACTCTTCAAGCATATGGAAGAGCTTTGATGCTCGATTACTCGCTGGCGAGGAAGGAAAGTGTGCTTCCAATGTGGTTTTCGTGGACGAGAGCGATTGGCGATAGCGTTGGATTTCTTCCGATAATAATAATAAAAAAAAAGTAAATAATATATACATACATATATATATATATATTACAAAATAGGAAATAATAAAAAATATTTACGAGAATTATATTTATCAAAATTAAAATTTTAAAGAAAAAAAAAAGACAAGTATGTCTATTTATGACAGACATAATTAAATGGGACCAAGTAGTTATCAAACCTAATTATTTCAGAGCTTGTTTTCAATGCAATTGATGTTCAATCTTTTTTTAAAATTATTTTCAACTAATTTGTCACTCATGCGGTATAAAACATTTTCTCTTGAAACGTGATTTGAGGTTCGACTAGCCTTGTTCAACTGTGCCCACGAACCCTTAAACCCTCGAGGCAGAGCGAAAAGGAAGAGATGCTCTGGCTTTTTTTGGTCTTGAACTCGCTCCCCACTCGAGAATGAGTGTTGTACGTTAGAATTATCGGTGGAGTATGATTTTTATAAAACTGACTTATTCACTGAGTCGAAATAGCACAATTATTGCTGTGTTACTAAGAAAGTGCGATTTGGACCCGAACATAATTGTGGTAAAAATTTGACATTAAAAATGTAAAATTAAACAATAAATTAATTTTAAATATATAATAATATGTTTTTTTAATCATTTTAAGCATGAAAAGAATAACGTGTAATAATTTCAAAATCAACGTTGGCTATTTACGAACGAGACCATACTTCAGCTGGAGAGGCGGTATCGCTCTTATTTTTTACCCCTTAATTACTATATATCTATTGAGGGTTATCAATATAACTCTATATTTGAGGAGAAATTTCATCTCCAATACCACGTCAAAGTCGTCGATCGTGACAGTAACAAAATCAACTTGTCCACTCTAGTCTCTTAATTTTACCAAGACTTTCTTTACTATAACTATAATAAGTAAGGTTGTCGAATTGATATATCTCTATGCCAACATAGATCCAAACATCTTTAAAGAGGTCTAAGGTCATCTAAGCTATCGGTTTTTGGGAGTTGTTCAAACCTTCGACATGCTCGAGCATTTGTGCAACATAGTCCATCGAGCTATCCCCACACTTGAAGCCACCAAATCGTGTGAATTTATCTTCTAGGATCTCAACCTTAAACATCAATCCTTGAACGGGATATCTTGTCTAAGCGGCCAGCTACCATATCAATCTCATCGACTTTATTGGCAATCTCATCTAAGCAATATTCTAAATCTTGAATACTGGCCAAAGATTTCTTGCCAATAAAACATAGTTTCTTCGATCTCAACCAATAAATATGATTCTAATACAGACTATCATAATTGAAATGTAATCGCTCATTCAAATTTATTTAAATAAATAATTTAAGATTAATAAACAATGATCAAAAGTGAACTTAATAAAATTTGGGTTTTTAGTAGATTCCCGTTTACCCGTCTCTTATAATTTATTAGTTAGTAGGGTTAGAGATGTTCGTTTAACTCTCGAGGGAAGGAGTGATGTGAAGTTTCTCTCCTTAGTTAAATGAGAATCGAGACTGAGATTATATTCTCTAACTCCATTCATGTTTAGTTAAATCCTCGTCTCGAAAAAAACATATTGTAATATTAAAATTTTATATTAAACATTATATTATATTTTTGTTTATAAAATATTATTAGATATATTTTACATTTAATTTTTTGAATATATTTTTAAAATATATATATAAAAAGGTGAGTAATGTTAGGATCGCACAACAATGCACACACTCAATCTAGATGAACACAAAGAACAGTATAGAGAAAATGCAAGTAGAACTCTGACTAAAAGATTTAGATTGATGACTTCAAGTATGTATAGTAAGAGTGTATAGTAAGAGAGAATACAAAGAATACAAAACACATTTTCAGCTTTAGATATAACTATCTACTATATATAACTATTTACCATATGTAGTTTTACCCGATATAGCTTTTTACTATACATAACTATTTACTATTTATGATAATTTACATATTATTTACCAAATATAGCTTTACTATGTATAACGGTTGACTTAGCTATAAATAAGCAGCAGGCTCCATAACCTAACAATTCTCACACTTGAAGACTGATCCAGTCAACCAAGAATTTCATTCTCAGACGATCATGAATATCTTCACTGCACCATACTAATTGAGGTTTTACACAACCTCAATATTCCAACATCAACACATTTTGTCAACATGTTTGCTGGATTCTTTGCACCCTCTATCTTCTCAAAACACATCACCATCTTCTACTAACCTGCAAGTGAAATGGTATCGTCTTTCGTGTTTTATCTTTAAATGATAGACCGGGTTCCTCACCAACTGTATGACACTTTGACTATCTCTATAAAGAATCTTTTCATGTTGCTTCTTGCCCAATTCTTCTAGATAGGGAGTTATCCATATTGTCTTCTTTCCAGCTTCAGCTATTGCCACGTACTCAACCTTAGTACAACGCATTTTTTAAGCCTAGACGTCCCATCATCCATGGCTTGCTCCTATTTGGTTGTATCCTCCAACTGTAGGACCTCATCAAAGGGCTATGGTTCCCTTTAATCAGCAACAAATAGTGTAATGAAGGTACATGCATATATGGTACTCTGATAGTACAAGATGATCTTCTCAACACCGGTTCAGGTGTCACTTGCTCTACTGCTGGTTCTTCTGCAACAACCTCAGGAGTTTGTTGAGTATCTGCTACAAGATCACTCGGTGATTTTCTCCGAAACTCAACCTCAACTCCCACTTGCTTTGTTGTCTTGGAACCTTGCTCCACATCGGTTCCTCAACAGTAGTCTTAGGAGTTTCTTGAGTATCTGCTACGACATCACTAGGTGAGTTTCCCTGCAACTCAAGCTCAACTCCCACTTACTTCGTGGTCTTGGAACCTTGCTCCACATATGGTTCCTCAGCAGTAGTCTCAGGAGTTTCATGAGTATCTGCTACAACATCACTAAGTGAGTTTTCCTGCAACTCAAGCTCAACTCCCACTTGCTTTGTCAAACCTTGCTCCACATTTGGTTCCATTTTCAACTGCACTTTCTTCAATTCTCTGGCAGTCTTTGTGAAGCTGACTTGTTTTTGTTTGCTCATAACATTGATCTCACAAAACCCACATCAACAGATTTCAGACTTTCTAAAACTTCTTTTCGCAGCCAGCGTCTTCATTTCTTTCACGCTCATATGTCCAAGTCTATTGTGTCATAGACTTGAATTTGAAGCACTATCAGCAACATCAGCTATGTTCATACACCCTGCCGTGGTATATAAGGATCCAGATTTTGAGCCACGTGCTACCACCGTAGCACCCTTCATAATTCTCCACGAACACTTCCCTAACTTTGTTGCATAACCCGTGCTGTCCAACTGACCAATAGAGATCAGGTTCTTCTTGAGACCAGGAATATATCTGACATCCTTTAATGTTCACTGATTTCCTGCCGGAGTTTTTATGCAGACATCTTCTTCTCCTTTAATCTCCAAATCTTTGTTGTTGGTAAGATACACCTTCTCAAAATTTCCAGACTTGAAATTCCGGAACATCTCTTTATTTGGAGACGAATGAAAAGATGCACTTGAATCCAAAATCCAGGATTCAATCGAACTATCCACTGAGGATTAGAGCATCCTCAATGTCTTCTGCTGAATTTATAGAATCATCATCATCTTCAGATTTGTGATTCTGCTTCCTCTTTCATCTTGTACAACCTGTTCGAAAGTGACATTTTTCTCCACAATTCCAACCCATTATGTTTGGTCTACTTGGAGATTTTTCTCGGTTCTTTGATTTTGATCGTCCTTTGTTTGGGCCCTTCGGTTTACTTCTTCACCGTTGGTCAACACTGAGAGAACTTCTAGATGAATTTTCAATTTCTCGTTTGTGAATACTTTCGCTGAGAACTATATCTCGAATTTGATCAAACTTCAGTTTATCAGATCCTCGCGAACTACTGATTGCGGCAACAACAATATCCCACGACTCGGGTAAAGATGACATCAAAATCAATGCTTTAATTTCATCCTCGAAATTAATTTCCACCGAACTCAGTTGACTTACGATCATATTGAGTTCATTTATATGATCAACAACAGATCCACCTTCAGACATCTGTAGATTGAACAATCTCCGCATCAAATACACCTTGTTCATAGCCGACGATTTTTCGTACATATTCGACAGCGCCTTCAACAGATCTGACGTTGTCTTCTCCTTGATGATATTGAACGCCATGTTTCTGGATAGCGTCAACCGGATTAGCTCTAATGCTTGTCGATCCTTGAGCTTTCACTGCTTCGTGGTCATGGTATTCGGCATCACCCCCAACAAGGGTTCGTGAAGATCTTTCTGATACAGATAATCTTCAATCTGCATTTTCCAGAAATCGAAATCGGATCCATTGAACTTCTCAATTCCAATCTTTGAACTTTCCATCTTCACAGATCGTGGTGACTTCCGCCTAGTTCTGATACCAGTTGTTAGGATCGCACAACAACGTACACACTCGATCTAGATGAACACAAAAAACATGATAGAGAAAATGCAAGGAGAACTCAGACTAAAGGATTTATATTGATAACTTCAAGTATGTACATTAAGAGAGAATACAAAAAATACAGAAAGTACATTTTCAAAGCTCGGGATTTTTACTATACATAGCTATTTATTATGACAATTTACATGTCATTTAACAAATATAGTTTTACTATGTATAACCCCGTTGACTCAGCTATAAATAAGCAGCAACTCCATAACCTAATGAGTAATATCACCGTTCTTACAAAAATAAATAGAAAATGCAGCATGCTCCATAACCTAACGAGTAATATCACTGTTCTTACAAAAATAAATAGAAAATTTAACGGGAAGAGGATTTGAAATGGAAGACGAGGATAGAAAAGACATCTCTGCCCCCGTCCGCTCGGTAAATATCTTTGGGTACTAAGGTAAATTTAGTGAATAATTTATCGTTTCCATAGCCACGTTATAAAAAGAAGAGGCGAACAGAGGCGGGCGGGAGGAGGGTGCATTAATCAGTTGTGGAGTGAAAACTATAAAGATATGGCGAGGAAGGGAAAGAGTGTGGAAGATGGTGGTGGTGGCGGGTGCGGAGGCGGCGGTGAGTTGCAGCCAGGTGATGGAGTGGCTAACTCCGTGCATCAGCTAGGCGTATTAGGGAGGGGAGGTGGCGCCGGAATGCGGCTCTGCCATAAAGAGCCTGATTTCGATCGGTTCCACCACCACCGCTGACCGGAGAACTGCATTAAGAATGGCATTTCCGCAATGCCTGGAATCAACTACGATCTCGGAGAAATGCGGCGCCACTGTTCCCTACAAGATCAAGTAAAGCACACACTCCTTCCCTTTCTCTTCATATATGTTATAGAAATTTTTTGTATGATGAATCTAATAATATGTTTGAACAACTACTAATTCATAGTATAATTCTGATTTGAATAAGGTTGGGACAATTGATTCATAGGTCAAAATAATGTTACGCAATTCAAAAACAATTAGCAAGTCACAAAAAATGGAGATAAGAAAAACCAGTCTAAAAAAATCAAAACAAAGAACAGACTAATCAAACTCAAGGATTCCAACAAATCAACCCACCCTATGTGTTTCTGATTCCAAACCAGCGCACCAAATGGCCTCTAGAAGTCGAGCTATAAACAATAATAAACTTGACACCAAGCTCATGAACTGGACATGGACATGAGCAAGTCAGCAAGCCGGATAACAGTCTGCATCAAAATGTGGCGCTACTTTCACTAGCAGAAAGAGAAGGGACTTCTGATTTCACCAGAGGAGATCCATTGCTGCTGATATCCAGACCCTGTAATCGCCCAAGTGGATCACTCTGCATGTTATCAGAGAATTGATGTGAATTCAGCTGATGATGCGGAGGATGTATTGACATGTTTGATGAGGAATGGCCGTATAATGGCATCTGCAGCATGTTGTGGGTGCCGGCAGAACCTGGCTGCTGATGAAGGGGAAAGAAACTGGATGCTAAATATGGCATATGAGGCATTCCCCCCAAGTTGAAGGAATCGGAGGCGCCTGATGTCTCTCCAGTGGCTACTTTGAGCCTCTCAACTTCGTTCTTTAGTGCTTCATTCAAGGCTGTGTCACATAGACAGTGATGATTTCTATTAACCAAGGCGAGAACATGTGATGATAGAAAGGAAAATTCTTAGGGTAATTTGGTGATACAAGTAATCTAGGAAGTGCTTACCATCTCGCAAATGAGCCTGTTGCTCCATTGCCTGCAACCGAAGCTTAAGTTCTGTATTTTCACTACTAAGACCTGTCGTATCCCTCTATACAAAAAGCCCCATGTTTAATACTAAGTTAGATAATATGAAAGGCTACACATTCTTAAGAAGGCGCAGGTCTGAACTGAAAAGGAGCATGGACAAAAAGAAAACTGTAATAAAATTTCTTGCTTTGTCACTAGTGTTGATCAAATCAAAATCTTGTCTTCTTTTTTCTTCTTCTTTTTCTTTTTTTTTTTTTTTTTTTTAAGAGACAAGTTCATTGATGATTGAAATTAGACCTTCTCAATTTGAAAGGAGGGAGGTATACTATAGGAAGTAAAAATATTAGACAGGTTACACCAAGATATAGTCCGAAAAGTTTTATTTAGGTTTGTGTTTTTTCTGCAAATATTCTCTGATTTCTTTCTTTCCACATATTCTAAAAAAAAAGTCATATGAGGTTACAAATTATACGAAGTTATAGTTATGAAAATATGGATCAATCTGTTCAAGTTCAGTTCCTCAAACAACAAGAAATCACAAGTAGATGCATCTCACAAAACCATGTAACTTTTTGGTTTCTTTAGATTAAAATGCAAGCCCAGAAAGAATCTAGAAGACAAATACATCAGAATCAAACTTTTCAAGCCAAAAAGTAGCAATAGAATTGAGACTAAGTTGATATGTTAAATAAACCAAGAGCTAAGTAGACTCAAAAAAGGTTCTTGCTCAGAATTCCCAAAGCTTTTAAAGATGAAAGCTTAATTTTGATTTAGCAACACATACTTGGAACAGTGCGAGTTGAGCTGAGAGAGTTGTCGCCTCTGTTTGAAGGGTCTGAACTTTGCGCTCGAGCTCCTGCATGTATCGTGCCTTCCTCTCTTTAGAACGGGAAGCAGACTGTCGATTGGCCAAAATCCTATACAAGGACAACGCAAGGAACAGCACTGAACAGATTCCTAAATGAATGGTTGAAAGTGCTGAATGCTAAAATGAAGACATGTCTGGTAACTTCTTATATCTCTTCAATTTACTTATTTATTGCTATCATTATTATTCATCCGTGCAAAACTGAAGCTTTAAAAGGTATGTAGATCATAGATGTAAGTGGATACATGTTTTTCCTCTATGCTTTGTCTTTTAATCTCTCCCACACAACCTCCCAAAACCTTTTATTATTAAACCATCCCATCCTCAGAATTGGCGCCTACACCTAATAGCTTAAGCCACTGTTCTTATTTTCTTGCTGACCCATCATGCAAAAGGTACTCCGATCCTTTAGTTTCTCATAAGATACACTTTTATCGATATAATGAAATAATCAAAAAAGAAGAAAAAAAGCCCAAGCTAAGGAAATTTCCAAAAGGTCTTCCAACAAGTGTAAAAAAAACTATACCTATAATTCCCTTTGCAGCAAAAGCAAGAAGGAAAAAGTAAAGTCTCCCAGAAAACCTCAAGAACATTCTTCTATCCTCTCCATCCAAGCAGACAAAAAAGAAAAAAATCTCTCAAGAAAGTTGGACAGATTAATCTTTGTCTCCCTTTTGAAAGGATGAGTATCCAAAATGAGAGTAAAAAGAGCATGATGCCATTCATAAAGATTGGTCCAGTCAAAGGAGCTGAAAATAATACAACAGAACCACCAGACATAACGACAAGGAAAGATAGCACTGAGTTTCATCACTAGACTTGCATAGGCGGCATTAATTAGGGTAAGTGTCTTCAATGACATCAATAAGAGAGTTTTTCTGGTCAAAAAGCAAGAATTATAGCGTACTCATATCCCTTAAGTTTCTCCTTTCCCTTGATAATTGTTTCCTTTCTCTAATATGACTACCTGCAGGATCTGGGCTTCTTCAAACCATTTCTAAATTCCCTTCTCAACTCTCCCAAGAATCTAGTTTAGCAATTGCTCAATCGATATGAACCTAAATTGAGCACGTCCCTTTCTCTTCCTTCATTACTCTGACCAGATTTGAGCCACATCTATACGCTACAATGGGTCCACCCTGTAAAAGTGAGGGCTCATTGTTCAAATCTCTAAAGGAGAGGGTATCAGAAGTAGCGCTGAAGTTATTGGGAACAGTGCAGTGAGGGTTATTTTTATGCTTAGAGCTCAAGTTGCTTGAATTTTGGAGGCAGAAAGAGGTCCAGTTTCATTAAATCTATTGACCATGACCAGTAATCAGTTAAATCAAGAATGAATACGCATTAAGAAGGAAGACAATGGAGGAAGAGAGAGAGACCTTTTGGCGCGCTTGGGATCAAGAGTCCAAAGCTCAGCTAGTTTATCAGGAGGCATAGCTTTCTTGGCGTCCAGTACATCCCCAAACACACTGGTAGATGTGGAACCATCAACAGAGTTGCTATATCTATGCCTCGGTCTGGGAGTCTTCTCAGGTTCAGCATTAGCGGTGTGATCTGCAGAAGAAGTGCCGGGACCAAGCTTGTCTACATCAATGTAGGTGGAAAAGAGGTCGTCCTCAGATCCGATCTCGTCTAAAGCGAGGGCGGCGGATCCGGCAGTGAAGGGATCAGAGGAAGAGAGATCCATGATGTCATCAGGGAACCGAAATGTGAGTTCGGAGTGGGCCCTGCGGTGGTGGGGTCTAGTAGAAGAGGGCGGCGGCGGCGGCGGAAGATGAGTGTTGGGAGTAGAAGCATTGTTGGAGATGGAGGAATCGGGATTTGACGCCGGATCTTGCATTTCCGAAGCTACTGTAAATTGTTGGGCTGTGAGTGCGGGGAAGATGGCGTTGCCGTTGGATTAGTGCAAGCCATTAGTCCGGCGGTTCGTCTTCTTCATTATCTTCATCTTGTTGTTCTTCTTTGCGCGTCGCTAGCAATGGCGACAGTAGAGGAAAGTAGAAATTGCTTAAATTTATTAATGGCGTCAACTGCCACTCTTACTGTAGTAGACACTAAAATTCTCTATCCACAGCCTCTTTTCTTGTTCGTGGATAATGCTAACTAATTTTTATTTATCAAAAAATTAAAGTTTTTATTTTCTCCAGTTAGACAACTAAGTTGATATGACTTCCTAACTCGAACATATTCAAATTATAAAAGTTGGGTTGAATTAAATTTTTTTGTTTGGAGAACCCATTACATACACGAGATAAATCTAGTGCTTTTTAATTTAACCTAATTATAGGTTTGATTTTAATCCATTTTAATTTATCAATTATATTAATTTTATTTTATGCTTATTATTTGTTAGTTTTATTATGTTCGATTGTAATGTTTATGAGAAAAAAGAAAAGAAGAAAAAAAACATTTAAGCCACATGTAATGTCTGTTTCTAAGTTTATGAGATTATTAGTGACATTTTTGTATTTACGTATGTGTTGTATATGTTTTTATGAGGTACTACGTATGGTGGAAAAAATCGGGTGGTTTTTCTAAAGAGTCGTCAAATAATTTCTAATGGAATTTTGTCTTTACCGAAATGACCTGCAATTTCACTTTGCTTGAGCTTCCATTTGTTTTCAAAAGTCCATGCCATATGTGTGTAGTAATGACTCTTTAGTGTTGAGTTTAATAAATAAGGTCACTCCGTTAATGAATAAGACATTTGTTTCTATCCTAAAATTGGTATGATTCCTACTATTATCTTATTGTGTCCCAATTCACAAAGACGGGAATAGGGTTGTAAGTCTTTTGGTATTGTTCGGGCCGAGTTAAGTAAAAATGAGTCATCAGAGCCGGTGATTTATCATAGCTAAATTTTAGTTTTAATAAATTTTAGAAGATAATTTTTGTTTTCCAATGGTTTAAACATACACCAAATTTAAATTTCATCCAAATTGAAACTTGAATAAACAAAAAAACTTACCGATTTAATACCTAATGGTTTACAAGATATGATTAAATTTAAAATTACTCCGAACAAGCATAAGGTCAAGATGGCCGAGTTGGTCTAAGGCGCCAGTTTCAGGTACTGGTCCGAAAGGGCATGGGTTCGAATCCCATTCTTGACAAAAAATTTAATGTGATAACAACACAGATTAATATTTTATCACTTATTAATTAAATGAAGTAATCCTCCAATATTAAATTTAGTTAATTTAATTATTTTATTTGAGACACCAACTAAATCCTCCAATATCTACTTCTAACATAAAACGGATAAATAGATTTAAACGTCAAAATAATACAATATGAATATAAGGAATTGGCGAAACCATGAAACTAAAACGGTAAATGGTGGCGGTGAGCCGGAGAATGAGGGGACGACATGGCGGCGAAACGAGAACTGTAAACGGCAGAAATATCCACACTGGTTGTGGCCGGTGCCCATGGGCTCTGACTTGCCGACATCATACTCATGGAGTTCGTTATCCCACCGCCGCCGCACCCTCTCCGTGGGACTCTCTCTCCTCTCCGGCGAGGCCCTTTCTCCGCCCACTTTAGCTCTGCGTGCTTCACTGCAGTTGAGTACCTCCAACCGAAGCAACCCACATCTCCTGCCTCCCCTATGTACCTGATGAATGATGATACCCCATTCAATTTTAGTCTCTAATTTTTAATAAATTTTAAAATCAATTCCTATAAAGTTGGAGGGTTCAATAATTAACCTGTGACTGAATTTTCTTCCCAAACACTCTATGCACTTTCTTCCCTCCGTCATCTCCCCCATCCCAATTCTCACACATTGCCGGCAGTAAACTCTCCCACAGACCTGCCAGATTCATAGCAATATGCATGTGTTTTCAGTGGATTGTTACTGTAAATATGTTTTTTTGTGTTGGAAATGAAATGGATGCACACCAGGCAACGATGGCGGAAGACATAGATGTAGGTGGTGCAGTTGGTGCAGATATTGGAGTGAGGAATCCCCGGGCGGCGTCTCCCCGGAGTGGCTCTGTGATGAAGATACATGGAACCCATGCCGCTGATGCGACTTGCCTCCTCGTAGGCTGCACTGTACTCCAAAGCCGGCCTCAACCCACCAACATGGGCATGCATGTACTCATGCTCCGAAGTTGGACGGCTTTGAATGTGGCCGGCAGGGGCAAGCGGCGACCCACTACTACTCCCACCGACCTGCGCGCTCGGGTGGAGGCTGATTTTGGAGTCAGGGCGGGAGTATTGGTTGGCCGCTTGGAGGGCTCTGTTGAAGTCTAGGCTGGGGAGTTTGGTTAATGGGGTGCTTTGATTATCTCTAGGGATTGGAATTTGGATTGATGGGTTGGCTCTGGATTGAACATTGACGTCTGTGAGATGTCGGAAGGTGAGATTCACCGACTCATCTGGCACCCCCTCGTAGAGTGCTTCAAGCTCCATTCTTGCCTTTTTGAACCCTCCTCCATCATCCATGGCGGATTAGATTCCAAATACTTGGGACTTCAAAGGGTCTGCTTTATAAATCATCACCATTGGCGGCTCCATGGATTAAAGCCAAAAACCTGGCCGGTATCTGCCATTCTGGACTATTTCCTGCATCATTTTCTTCGGCTCAAACAAGATAAAATATATCAATAATCTCGATCTTATCGATGGATAAAGATAAATGAATAAAGAAATGAATGATGAAAGCTAATAATGGAAGAGGTCAAAGGACAAAACCTGTGTGCTTGGGAATCTCTTCAGAACACTCGGCCAAGATCGAAAAGAGCTCCTCGGCCGGACTATTTAAATAACCATAAATTCCACTGCTACTCTGTCATCAACCTGTTGTTTGAAGACAGGATTCCCAAAAGTTGGTCAACTAGAATTACAATACCAGAAGCTGCAATTGTAATGACGCATCATGTCATTCACTCAGAAGCTTTAGATTACAATATTATGCATTATGTCTTTTTTGCAAACAGCTTTTGCAATTGGAAGTATCCAAAAACAAGTTCTTCATATCACTTGTAGACTTGAGAAGCTACAACATACATTACCATGACTCCTCATTGCTAATAGGAGCGAGAAGTGAGGCTGAGAGATCAATCAATGAACTTGTATGATAAACTAAAGAACGTTTATGTTTCAGTTATATTATTTATATACCAGGTGAGTAAAAGAGATGGTAAAAGATTTAAAAGAAAAAGAAACCCAAAAATGTTTAAATCTCAATGGTGCCCTCTGCATCTATCACTTGTGCTCTCGTGTGCTGATCCATGGCACCCTTCCTCAGACAGGCGTCTCTCACTCTCCGCGCTACTTGGTTGACTGGAATGTTGCTCACTCGTGACGCTGGAGACGCCAATTTGCTTTGAGTAACTATCTAAAGGTTGGCTGGCAGCCTCAACAAGACTCATCATGCTTAATCCTGCTACCTCCAGTTGCATGTCTTCCCGGTCAGGGTGGCAGTTCAAGTCAATTTGGCCACTGCTATTTGCAGCCTCCTCATCTTTTACTCGGATCTGACTTCTTTCGTTCTCTGAATGGTTTGTTTGCAGAGATGTACCCTTCAGTGTCCCACTCGTTCCTGATTCATCAAATTGTGAATTCCCCTCCTTGAGTGAAGTCTCCATTTCACGTTCTGATAGGCGTTTCTTCTTGCGAAGCATGAGCGTTTTAAAACGGCGTTTTACAGTCAAGCAGACATTGCATGTGCATGTGGATTTATGCTTTCCCTTCCCACTTGGAGGCTGAATGCACACAATGCAAGTGCATCCTTGTCGGTGTCGAGGATGCCTAGTTGTTGTACCTGATTCCTGCACGTCAGCCATACTATCACCCAGAACAGCAGCACTAGCCAGTGCATCCAAACCAGAAGGCTCGAGTTCTTGAGCAGACTTCTGGCTCTTCATGATTTTACGTTTCTTAAAATCTGAAATACATATGGCATAAAGGATCAGACACGACATAATACATTTACCTAATAGACATTTTATTTCCAAAACATTTTTAGTTTCAAATGACAGCTCAATGAAATGCAGTAAAAGAAGGGGAAAATTAACGACATGGTGAATATCGACATCACAACCATTCCACTGATTTACAACGAGTCTGATGTCAAGGGTAATCTGCAATAAGACTATCTGCCTCTACACTTCTCGCATCTCAACTTACAAAATCAAGTCGGTCACCTAAGGCGTTCACTCCAACAAACCTCAGTTACTGGAAACACACACCAAAGAAATTTCATCCAGCTATTATGCAATGTCTACATTCAGGTGCGACTAAATGCAGCTAAAACTACTATGAAAATACACTGAAGCATTTAATTAAGATATATGAAGACAATCTTATTGATATTCCTTGCCCAAATTTTGATAAAATAACCTAAATGCAACAGCATTCCTTGCCAGATTTCACCACCCATCTAGACATGTTAACATTACAAAATATGCACCTACTGAATTATATAGGTTCTCCTTAATTCAAATGAGCCAAAAGCTTGTGTAGATGACTAGATGGCTTGGTTGGTACCTTTACTCGCTCTTAGAAGATTCTCCTGTTCCTTTGTGTTCATCTCTTCCGGTGCAGAACATGTACGCCTTGAAGAACAAGGTTAGAAGTGTTATATAATCTCCTTCAAGTTGTGGTAATTATACTTGCATAGAAAACCAATAAACCGCTGGAAAAGAGAAACAATCAAACAAATATTGCACCTGCTCAAATCCCAAATATTATCTGAACAAGTCCACTTTGGAGGAAGAAGAACATCCACAGGCAACTTCCGCCATTTTGAGCAATCATCACACTGAGCCCATTGTTTCTGTTCCCTGGATTATAACGGTCTAATCAGCAATAATTGATGACTTGTTTCTGTTCCCTATGTGTTTACATTCATAAATTGGCCACAAATCGTTGAAGCTAGATCGAGACTCAACAACAAGCTTTCAATAACATTACAATAACACTTGATGACTTGGATAAGCCTAATGAAGAGTTTATAAGCCAAATTTAATAAAATATCAATACTTATTGACAGTGCAACTCTTCCATCATTCGTATATACAAATTCATGAACATAAACCTTACCCAGTTGGTCGGACAGTGAATATAGTTCTCTTGCCAAAAACTGGAGGTTCCTGAACAATTTTACGACAGGGTCATGATAAAATCAGATGAATAATGAACATATATCATTTAGAGGCAAACCAACACAAAGAAGCCTTGGTTTCGAAAAAGAACAGAAATCCTACATCATACTCCTCAAATTCATGGTCATCGATTGTGACAATGGTGGGATTTGCACTTGGTGGAGGCCGGAGTAGATCTTGAGCTTCTTCCCATGTGAGTCTTAACTCCAAAGCATCTTCACTATGCATGAGCAACCTCTTATTTTTAGACCCAATGTTTCGAGTCTTCTTGTCCATGGTTGACATGGGTTGTTGTCCTGAAGTCATCCTACCCCCAAAATTTTCGATTTTATGCAAACTAATATCTCCAGCTACAACAAAAATGGTCACAGAACAAATAGATGAGGTTGCATCCCAGGAGAATTAGTTCAAAGGTGGTGGTTTCTGTGATGGTGTTCCATATTCCTTTTAGTTGTTTAAGGTGTCTTAGCACTGGGTTTGTGTATTTTTGTAGTCAGATTTTAAGTACTGTGAATCTGTAACTACTCTATAGGGTGGAAATTTCGGATAATTTACTGGACATCTTTTAGGGTTCAATTTGAAGGTTGAAATAGATCCACTCAACTATGTATAGAGATAAAAAGTGATATTTTTTTCCCTGAATAAAATAAGGGGCAATGAACAACCTCTTAAAGGCAAATTCTGAAAGACCCCAGAGAATGAGGCGTCACCCGAATGAGAGCCATTAGGAAATGTAGAGATCTTGGCATCCTGTTCACTTCACCTTTTCATCAATCCACTAAAACAAAAAAGCATGATGATAAGAAAAGGCAAAGATTAACGATAATGAGTGAAAAACTTAACCTGTGTATCAGAAGAATTTGTTGCTTTTCGAAATCCCATGACTAATTGGCCTCCAGGATCTATCCGACTAAAGGTAACTGCATTAAAATATAAAATCTGATAAGAATCAATTTTTCTCTCATATGAACTTCAGATATTTACATCTACAAGTCATATCCTTCAAATTTGAATCCACAATTCCAAGCCAATAAATATGCAGTACGAATGCTTTTGAGCAAATGATATCACTTTAATCATAAAGAATTATAAGGCATAAATAAGGGTGTCAATTTTTTCCCCAGAGCCAAAATCCAATTTTCAAACTGACTGGAACAAAGAAATTTTCTAACCTCACTTGAATTTAAAGAACAAGGCAGAAATGCATTCCTGACATTTAACTACGATTTTTTCCAGGAAGGGGAGTTTTCTAGGGGTGAAGGGGACAAGTGTGCACAGTAACTCATAGAGGAAAGTTAGAACCTAAAGGATTCAAAATATTAACCACTTAAAAAGGGAAAATATTCGTTAGAACACAAAATATAGATAATACATAAACAAGAGAGGTGGCTCAAAATGATTATACCCTACTACCCAAAGAATTTTTTACTGATATTACTGGTCAAATCACTTTGGTTCATGATGTGATGATTATACTCGCAGGAAACTCCCCTTCTTAAAAAAAAAACAAGAAACAGAACATTTTACTGATAAAATGAGAAGTGGCTGATGCTCAAAGGAAACCTCCACAAGGGAAGGAAGAAAAAAAAAACAATCAAAACAGAAAAATTACAATGGAAAAGGCACAAGCCAAAAAAAGACATAAATCCTGAATAGAATAAGAAACAAATATGGAAAGAGAACACCATCAAGAATCCATGAGATGAGCAGAGGCAAAGTGATATAACCAAGAAGGTTCTTTGATAAGAAATGTCCTTTGAATTCTTTCAAACCAAAGATCCAAAAGGCATTGATAACAAAGATCCACATTCAGTAAGCAGCAGAAAAGGATATTCCAGGATGATAAACAAACTCAGAAACTGAAACTTCAAAGGAATTTTTTTTTCAAAAAAAAACCTAGAATAATGCCAAAAAGAATCCTGCTTCCAATGCCTAGACTGAAGGCTGCAAAAAAATTCACCTGATTCCAAACCTTAGAGCCATGAAAACTCTTAAAAACTAAACACCAAAAAGAAACTTGATGCTTGATAGAACTCCAGCCCAAATTTGCAACTAGAGCCATAATTCTAATCTTAAAACCACCAAATCCGAGACCCCCATCAATTTGAACTTTATAAACCAAATTCCATCTCACCAAGAGATCAAAATTTCCCAATATTGCCACCTCCACATGATAAGAACTTCTCAAATTCTTTGGAACTTATCAAAAAATCCATTAAGCTTTTAATGAAGGGAACAATTGAGGATTTGTCCGTAAATGAATTCCACAAGTTGCAATTAGAGAAGAAAACCTGGTCAGAACAGAAGGGGAAATTAATTCTAAGCTTCTTTAACCAAATCGACACTGATATT